AATGATAGCTTTGCTGGGTAGAGTAATCTTGGTTGTAGGTTCTTGTTGTTCCTCATTTTGAATATTTCTTGCCACTCCCTTCTGGCCTGCATAGTTTCTGTTGAGAAATCAGTTGACAGTCTTATGGGTACTCCCTTGTAGGTAACTAGCTGTTTTTCTCTTGCTGCTTGTAAAATTCTCTCTTTGTCTTTTGCCCTTGGCATTTTAATTATGATGTGTCTTGGTGTGTTCCTCTTTGGATTCCTCTTGTTTGGGGTTCTGTATACTTCCTGAACTTGTAAGTCTATTTCTTTCACCAAGTAGGGAAAGTTTTCTATCATTATTTCTTTCAATAGTCCTTCAATATCCTGCTCGCTCTCCTTTGGTACCCCAAAAATCTGGATGTTGGTACATTATAAGCAGTCCCGGAGGCTCCTTACACTATCCTCACACTTTTGGATTCTTCTTTCTTTCTGCCTCTCTGGTTGGGTGAATTTTTCTTCCTTATATTCCAGATCTTTGGTTTGATTCTTGGGGTACATTGATCTATAGTTGAGTTTCTGTATATTCTTTATTTCAGAGATTGTATGCTTAATTTCTGACTGATCCTTTTCCATTTTTTTGGTATTCTCTTTAAGGTCCTTGAAGGTCTCATCAAGCTTCTTGGAGATCTCATCAAGTTTCTCAAAGGTTTTTAGAAGATTCTTGAGTAATCTTATAAATGTGATTCTGAACTCTGTGTCATCCAGTAGTTTACTCTCCTCCATCTCTCCCATTCGTGACATGTTTCTGTGTCTCCTCCCTATGTTGATGGGGTGGCTTTGTGTGGTAGGTGAACTATCAGCTTCCCCAATCACCTGGGGTGATCGCTTTTGGTATATCCCTTTATGGGCTGAGTGCAAAGTCTTGGTGTAATTAAGCCTTGATTGTTATTAGTACACTGGGAGGAATTGATCTCCAGGCCAATTGTCTATGAGGACCCACTCTGTCTATATAGGAAGAACTGCTGTGCTGGAGACATGGTTTGTTTCAGTGGGGCTTTGGTGCTCACTGAGCCCCTCTCCTGAATGTGTCACTTATGGGTGTGAGTGGTTAAAATTGTCCACTAGGAACACTGGCTTCTGGATCTCCAATGGGATTCAGTTCAGTTACTGTCTGAAGCCACCCTGTAGGAGCTACAGCAAGAACTAGTTTTCTCCTGTTTGCTTGGGACTTGGCTGTTTTGTTGCTGGAGCTGCAGTTTATATCTGGTTAAACTGTCTCAATACAGGCTATTCATATGTAAAAGCAGATGTGTGGTGCCTGGGCGGATCTGTAGAATGTGTGGGTGGGATTTCAGGGCAGGGTCTCAGGGCGGGGAGGTGTCTCAGGACATCACTAGGTTGGGGCGTGTCTAACAGTGATGGCAGCCATCAGCTGTCCCTGCCCCCGCGTTTCCAAGTCCGCGCTTCCCTGTGATCCAGCACAGTAACAATGATTGCTGCGCACACCTCTGCAATTGCCGCCCTCACTTCGGACCCGATGGCCGACAGACCAGCTTCTCCCCATAGGTGTCTGGGTCCCCGACGTGAATTTCAAAGTGATCGGGAGCTTGTTTCCTTTCAGGTTGAAAAGAAAAGCCGAACACCCAGTCACCCACCACAGCCCAATTCGCGTGCCTCCGTACCTAGGCTCCACACTTGCACTCCTTTCTCTTTCAGCCAGTCTTACCGTGATTTGGGGTGATAGATGTCCTTTGTATTAGTTTTAATTTTTTAAATTGTTGTGCGAGCAGCAGACCAGTTGTTTACCTATGCCGCCATCTTGGTTTCTCCTCTCTCCTAAAATTTTTTTCCTATGACCTAAAGAATAAACAACTATCAAATATTTTATCTTTTTGAGATACCCATTTTAACTTTCATTACTGGAAGGATCAAAAAAGGTCATACTATCACTGGTTCTTATTTGTTCTTAGAGTTTAATACTGTCAGGCTTCTGAACCTACTGCCTATTCTGAGGAACTCCAGCCTATTTATTAGAATGGAGTCTGTTCATACTGCTTCTCAGCCAGCCTGGTGCTCAACATTTGGCTGCATGGGTCACTCTTGGCTTCTTCCTCTCTGCCAATTCTATTCTTTTAATTTTCCATGGCAAAAGCCAAGATTACTGAAGATATATTTGATAAGCTGATCTGGCATAGTGGTTAGCAACAATTGCTCTACATCCAGACTTTGGACACTTATTTATCAACCTCTAGATCGAAAGGAAGTCGTCAGGAAAAAACTGCCTATATTAGTTTTCTGGGGCTATTGAAACAAAATACCACAAGCTGAGTGTTTTCTTTCACAGTTCAGGAGGCTAGAAGTCTGAAATCAAGGGGTCAGCAACGTTGGATCCTTGTGGGGCTCTGATGAAGAATCTGTCCCATGCCTCTTTCCCTGCTTCTGGTGGCTACCAACAGTGCTTGGTGCTCCTTGGTTGTTAAGCACATCACTCTACTTTTAGTCTGTCTTCACATGCCATTGTCCCTCTGTGTCTCTATACAAAACTCTGTCTCCTCTCATAAAGACACCAGTGGCAGATGCCTGCCCTAATCCAGGATGACCTGATATTTAACTTGATTTCCAAATAAGGTCACATTCATAGGTACTTGTGCCTAGCACTTAAATGTTTCCTTTTGGGGAATACAGTTCACCCCATAACACTGCCCCAGTCTTCTCTGTAACCAGTACATCACCATGAGGTGGAAATGAAGCCCATTCTTGACTTTCTAAGCTCCTCCTGGAATTATTTCACAGTAGAGCTTTTTTAAAATACATTTTTATTTTCACAGTAGGGCTTTATTAAAATATATTTTTATTGATTTCAGAGAGTAAAAGAGAGGAAGAGAGAGAAGGAAACATCAATGATGAGAGAAAATCACTGCACACACTCCACTGGGAACCAAGCTGCAATCACATGTGCCCTTGACTGGAATCGAACCCAAGACCCTTCAGTCAGCAGGCCAATACTCTATCCATTGAGCCAAACCAGCTAGGGCAAGTTTTTTTGTGTGTTTTTTTTAATGCTGACCCGAGGATATTTTTTCCATTGATTTTCAGACAATGGAAGGGAGGGAGGGAGGGTAGGGAGAGAGAGAGAGGGAGGGAGAGAGAGATTCTGATGTGAGAGAAGCACATAGTCTGATTGCCTTCCACACAGCTGGGAATCAAACCTGCAATCTAACCTGCACTGTGGTAATCAAACCGTGGGCTGACACTTTAACCACTGAGCCAAACTGGCCAGGGCTTGACAGTAGAACTTTTGTATAACATTACCACCCCCTCTTTTATTTATTTATTTATTTAATATTTTTTTTTAAATATATATTTTATTGATTTTTAACAGAGAGGAAGAGAGAGGGATAGAGAGTTGGAAACATTGATGTGAGAGAATCATACGATCAGCTGCCTCCTGCACACTGCCTAAAGGGGATGTGCCCGCAACCAAGGTACATGCCCTTGACCGGAATCGAACCTGAGACCTTTCAGTCTGCAGGCCAACGCTCTATCCCCTGAGCCAAACCGGTTTTGGCACCACCCCCTCTTTTAAATATGTCTGTATTGATTTCAGAGAGGAAGGGAGAGAGAGATAGAAACATCAGTGGTGAGAGAGAATCATTGATCAGCTGCCCTTCTGGGGATCGAGTTCACAATCCGGACATGTGCCCTAACCTGAATCAAACTGTGACCTCCTAGTTCATAGGTCAACATTCAACCACTGAGTCATGCCAGCTGGGCTCCCATTTTTTTAGGAATAATTTTAGAGAACTACAGGCTGAATAACAATATATAAGCATTTTATTGAAAACTATTTGCCTCCTAAAAACTGTCCTCTAAATGTTTTCTGAATTTTCTAATGAAAAATATTAAGGATTGCCCTGGTCAGTATGGCTCAATTGTTTGAGCATTGTCCCATGCACCAAAAGGTTGAAGGTTCCATTCCTGGTCTGAGCACATGCTCAGGTTGAGGGCTTGATCCCCAGGAGGGGGCGTGCAGGAGGCTGCTGATCGATGTTTCTCTCTTACATTTATTATTTATTTATTTATTTTCTCTCTAAAAATCAATAAGAAAATATATATATATATATATATTTTAAAGAAAACTACTAAGGACTTAGAATATAGAAATAAATTTTACCTGCACCTTCATTTTCTACTGACCTCATACCATCCAGCATGTCAGCTTTGCATTTATACAAGCAGATCTTTGGGTCCCTGGCCTTTCATATTACTCCCTCTCATCCTAGATCTTTGATTTTTCTGAGCACATCTAACTGCTGATGCCACAAGTGCTCACATGTGTTTGTCAAGAACACTGCCCCAAATGCAGTCAGCACACCAGAAATGCCCACGCTTCTCCCATAGCACAGAGGCTGAACTGAGCTACTGCTGTAGCACTGCTCTTGGATGGAGAGCTGCTGGGCCACCATCACCAGCCCCTCTGGGTTGGAGCTGGAGCTGTGCTCTCTGTGTGTTTTGGTTAAGAAGCACGTCCTCCCAAGCCTGCTCAAGGGGAGAGGGTATCTGGTTACTACTACCAGTATTTATTAAAAATTTGCTGTTTGCACAATCCATACTGGGCCCATAAAGGACATTATGGAGAGGAATGAGCTTCTAACTGCTGGATCCATGGCCAGTAAGGCTGGGCTCAGTTTGGTAAAAGACACATGGGACTTGGCAAAAAGAAGAGGGTTCTCTACATGTTATTTACTTCACATCCTAAAACAGTCTTTGGGCTTCCTACCCCAAAAGCAAGCTTACTCCAGCTAATGTCAGGATGTCAGTTAAGTGGTAAATAACCAACTTGTGCAGAATTGGAGCTTTCTCTTTGACATCTACATACAGGTGTTGCAGACTTGGTCTCTGCCCAATGAGATCTCTTGCAGGACTGTTGTGCCCATAGAGTTATTCAGATCTCTTGGGCTAGTGAGGCTATTTGGGGCCCCATAGTACCCAGAGCCCTTCTGCCAGCTCAGTCTTCCTGACCCCCTTTCATCTTAGGGAAGCAGTGGTTCAGGCCTCCAGGATGAGCACATTACAGACTTGCTGGTGTTTGGCTTCCTTCAAAACTGCTCCAACTACAATTTCCAAAAAGAGCTGCAGGTGTTGGGCCATGACCTATATTTGCCAGCATGCCTACGGGAAAACCATGATGATGAACTGCAGACCGATGGCAGCCAGTACAGCCACTTTGTCCTGGAGAGCCAGGAGACAGGTAAGCATCGGGCCCAGTCTTTTCTGCCTTGCTGTCACCAGTTGCATTTAGGGATCCAGAGTGCTAGAAGAGACCTTTGGGTTCAGCTCCACCTGAGTGTTGTTAGTCCACCATTGATGTTTGCATCATGTGATACTTGGTTCCTCCAGTGGAGCAAGCCTAGCTGAGCTTCCAATTAGTTGAAAATCCACTCAGTTTTTTTTATAATGACTATATCTGTATAGCACCTTACATTTATAAATATAAATATAAATACACACACACACACACACACACATACACACACTAGAGGCCCAGTGCATGAAGTTCATGCACAGAGGGGGGCTTCCCTCAGCCCAGCCTGCACCTTCTCCAATTGGGGACTCCTTGGGAGATGTCTAACTGCCGGTTTAGGTTTAGGTTCACAGGGATTGGGTCTAAACTGGCAGTCAGACAATCCCATTGCAATCTGGGACTGCTGGCTCCTAAATGCTCACCTGCCTGCCTGCCCAATCGCCCCTAACTGCCTCTGCCTGCCTGCCTGATCTCACCCCCAATGGCCCTCCCCCGCTGGCCTGATCTTGCCTCCAACTGCCTTCCCCTGCAGGCCTGATCTCACCCCCAACTGCCCTCCTATGCTGGCCAATTTAGTTCTAATTGGTCAGTTTCAATGTCAGTCAGCGTCCAGAGCTCCACCTACTAGGCAGCCATTAGCTTCCCATAGTACCCAGATTTGGTTTTGATTAATTGGTTTCTATGCTAGTCATTATTAAAAGCTCTGTCTCCTAGGCAGCCACTGGCTCCCCACAGCACCCAGATTTGGTTCTGATTAGTTGGTACCTATGCCAGTCAGTGTCTCTGGGACTATCTACGGGGCCTGATCAGAAAGGCAGTGCTGATCAGCAGCCCTGGTGGAGGCCTGGAGAGAAATGGAGGCAATAAAATTTAACTTCTTTTTTTTTTTTTTTTAATATATTTTATTGATTTTTTACAGAGCGGAAGGGAGAGAGATAGAGAGCTAGAAACGTCGACGAGAGAGAAACATCGACCAGCTGCTTCTTGCACACCCCCTACCGGGGATGTGCCCGCAACCAATATACATGCCCTTGACCGGAATGGAACCTGGGACCTTTCAGTCCGCAGACTGACGCTCTACCACTGAGCCAAACTGGCTTCGGCTGGAGGCAATAAAATTAAAAAAAAAAAAAAAATTAAAAAAAAGAAATGGAGGTGAGGCTGCTGGCCAGACGGGGAGAGAGAGGGGCAAGTGTTGGTCAAAAGCTGCCTCAGAGGCAATGGATCAGTCCCTGCTTCTCTCTTCAGGCCTCTTTCTGGCCCTGATTTGCAGCCTCCTCAGCAGTCAGTGGTGGAGCACCGCGCCTGCAAAGCTGACTTCCCGTTGGTAGAGGTTTGGTTGTTATTGGTTGTTATTGATCGTTATGACCCAGGGTTTTTATATATTAGGATGGGGCATTGAAGTATTCTGAATATCACTTCCAAGTGAGGAAACTGAGGCCCAGAAAAGCATCAATACCAAATGACAGGCCAGGCCTCTTTCCTTGAGCTGGGCAATAAAATTTTAACTTTTTTTTTTTTAAATATATTTTATGTTTCTCTCTCGTCGACGTTTCTAGCTCTCTATCTCTCTCCCTTCCGCTCTGTTATTGCCCACCCTCCCATGTTCACTAATGCCTCTTGGTACATTACAGTTTCTAGACTTCTTTCACCTTTCCTCACCCACATCCTTGTGTTGTTCTCCAACTTCAATTTTTACTCCTCCTTATTGCTAATGCTGCCTTCACTGATGGAGACTAGGTATCCCAAGCAGATGGCTGAGGAAGCAAGGCTGGGGAGCATGTTGAATGCTTAGCCATGACCAGATTAGGGAACAGTGGCCCTCAGTAGTGTGCACATTGGAATTCCAAGAAAAGCTTTTTCAAAATGCCTGGTCCCTGACCCCTACTCCAGTTTCCTGACCCAGTGTGTTCTAGGATGGGAGACTCTGGTGTATGCCCTGGATAGTTTCACTGCCTTAAAAGCCTAAGGTGACTCTAAGGACCTAGACCCTAAGCCTCTCTACTTAGGAACGGGAGTAAAATCCTGATACCCTTACATCTCTAGGTTTTTGCACTGCTCTCTGGTGGCCTTAAGGGAGACCAGCAACCCATCCAGCCTTGGAACCCCTAGCTCTGTCTCACAGCTGGTGGATAGGGATGTGTAATAAAGAGTTCCCCACTAATCAAGGTGTGCCAGATGTTAGCTGCCTTAGAATCCAGCTAGCATGTCTTCTGGCCCTAAACTGGAATAAGAGCACCTGGATCCTTTAGGAAAGGAGGGGCAGGAATGGCTTTGCTGGCAGTAACTGTTAGTAGGAGTAACTACCGCTAGAGGCTGTCCCCTGGGCTCTCCTTTGCTGTTCTGTACCTTCCCTTTCTTGTAGGCTGGAATGTCTGGCTTGACTCAAATGGCATTTTAAAACTGATTATGGAGCTGTACACTTAACTTCTCCCTCTGTTTGTAAGTACCTGACAAGATTTGGAAGAACAGGGCAGAAATAGAGGCTCTGACCACTATAAATTTCATGGTGAATTTATTCACTTGGTTGCACATAGATGAATCAGCCATGACTCCTGAAGTTGCTGAAATGGGAGAAATGCCTAGGGAGATTAGTGAGGCAGAGTCAGTGCTGTGGGAGCTATGGAGAAAGTAGTGAGTACTTCGTTCTCTGTGGGAAATCAGGAGAAATTTCATGGCTGCAGTGGAATTGAGCTGAGCAGTGAAGTTGTGTAGTTTTTCTCTGGAGATTAGGAAGAGGGAATGGCAATAGCTTAAACAAAACCCTGAAGATCAAAATGCCAGGGCCTGGGAAAGGTTGACTTTAACTAGAGCATTTGAAGGGAATAATTGAAGTTCAGCGTGATTTGAGGCTGGGTGGTAATTTTTCTCTTCAGCACAGTTGAGCATGTGGCAAATTCTGAGTAAAAAAGTGATGTCATATTGATACTCATGTGCCACAGTGAGGCAAATGAAATATCCAGGGTACAAAATGTAAGGAGGCACTCACTCTCAATGCCCTCTCATCTTCACCTGTAAGTGCCTTGCTGGCCCAAGTATACTGTGGAGAGTGGACTGGAGGACAGTGATAATGGGGTGAGGAGAGACTGTAATCCATGATTAGCACAATTTTAAGACATAAAGAGGCCATCAAGAGTGATGTTGCTAAGGGTGTGAAAATGCTAAGGAAACATTGATCACAGGCAATTCAGTAGATTAAAAGAGGGAATGATTTGGGGATTAGGAATGGATTAATTCAATTTACATTATTTTTAATGGGAAAAATGATGTTTTCAAATAAATTGCTTTTTGAACAGCCTTCTGGAATGAATTAAGTTCAAGAAGTGAAGTTCCACAGTGTAAGATTTAATTGGAAAAATAACAATAGTTGGCATTTATTGAAAATTTACTAGGAGCTAGGTACAGGGTTCAATCACTTATTCATTCGTTCATAAAATTGTTTATTTAGCATCTTCTGTGTGCCTTGCATTGTTCTCAGTACTGCATGTTTGGCAATAAAACATTAAAAAATCAGAGCCCTGAGAGAACCAAAATGGCAGGTTCTCGCTGCCTCCTACAACTACATCAAAATTACAACTAAAATACAGAGCAACCAGAAACTAAGATGGTGGCATAAGGTATACACGTGTATATGCTGCCTCTCAACCACACCAAAACTACAACTAAAGACAAAACGACTATCACCCAGAACCACAAGGAAAGCTGGCAAGGTAAAAGTTCTACAACTAGAAGGAAAGAAAAAAGCTCATTGAGACTGGATAGAAGGTGCAGAGGCGTGGAAAAACAGAGGTACAGAGATGCGCAAATTGGGCTGGCGACTGGATGTGCAGTTTTTTCAATCAGAGGAGAGATACAAACCCCTGACTGCACTGAACTCCTTTCCAGCGAGACTCTGGGAACCTAGAATCCCAGGGAGAAACTGGACTATCTGGCATCTGGTCAGAAAGTGAGGGTGGCTTTCTCGCAGAGGTGCTTGCAGGAATCATTGTTTACTGTACTGGTTCTGGATGCGGAAATGCAGAGACGCAGAGATGGCTGACTGGCAGCCATCACTGTTTGCTAAGCCCTAGTGAATCCCTGCAATCCCACCCAATTTACAAACCCACCCAAGCTGTGTGCAGTGGATTTTGCATAAGAATGGCCTGCCCTTTCACAGCTTAACCTAACAAATTGCAGTTGGGTCAGAGAGCTCCAAAACTTCCAAACCCCAAACAAAGAGGAGAAATCTACAGATCTTGCTGTAGCTCCTGCTGGGTGGCCTCAAACAGTAGCTGACTTGCACCTCCTTGGAGATCCAGGAGCCATTGTACGTAGTGGTCAGGGTAAGACACCAGATTTCAACTCCTAACATCCATAAGTGACATACTCAAGGGGAAGACTCAGTGAGCACCAAAGCCCCACTGAAGCAAGTACTGCCCCATAAGGGTGTCTCCAGCACAGCAGTTCTTCCATTATAGACACAGCTGATCCTCATAGCCAATTGGTTGGAGGTCAGTTCCTTCCAGTGTACCAAAAGCAATTAAGGCTTAACTACAACAAGACTGTGCACCTAGCTCACAAAGGGGTGCACCCAGAGTGTCCACTGTAAGTGATTGGGGAGGCTGAGCCATTGGGCCCTATAGGTCACCAACCACACAAAGCCACTCCATCAACATGGAAGAAGCCAAAATGTGGAGACAAAGAAACGTCATGAAAGAAAGAAATGGAGGAAAGCAAATTACTGTATATAGAGTTCAAAACCACAGTTGTAAGGTTACTTAAGAATCTTCTAGAAACCGCTGAGAAACTTCGTGAGACCTCCGAGGAACTTAGTGAGACCTTCAAGGATTTTAATGAGAATGCAAAAAAAAAAAAAAAAAGAAAAAAAAAAAAAGGAAAAGGACCAGTCAGAAATTAAGCATACCCTGGCTGAAATAAAGAATAATATACAGAAATCCATCTAGAGGACCCCCAAGAATGAAACCAAAGTTTGAAATATGAGGAAGCAAAAAACACCCAACGAGAAAAAGAAAAAGAAAAAAGAATCCAAAAATATGAAGATAGTGTAAGGAGCATCTGGGACAACTTCAAGTGTACCAACATCTGAATTATGGGGGTGCCAGAAGAAGAGAGAGAGAGAGCAAAATATGGAAAAGCTATTAGAAGAAATAATGACAGAAAACTTACTCCACCTAGTGAAAGAAATAGACTTACAAGTCCAGGAAGCACAGAGAACTCCAAACAAAAGGAATCCAAAGAGGACCAAGCCATAATTAAAATGCCAAGAGCAAAAGACAGAGAATCTTGAAAGCAGCAAGAGAAAAACAGTTAATTACCTACAAGGAAGTACCCATATGACTGTCAGCTGATTTCTTAACAGAAACTATGAAGGCCATAAGAGAGTGTCAAGAAATATTCAAAGTGATGAACAGTAAGAGCCTACAACCAAGATTACCCAGCCAAGCTATCATTCAGAATGGAACGTCAAATAAAGAGCTTCACAAATAAGAAAAAGCTAAAGGTGTTCATCACCACCAAACCAGTATTATATGAAATGCTGAAAGATATTAAGAAGAGGAAGCAGAAAAAAGTAAAGGTAAAAATTATGAACAACAAATATATATCAATAAATGAATCTAAAAATCAAGTCAATAAAAAGTCTGATGAACAGAAAAACTGGTGAATATAATAGAATCAGGGCATAGAAAGGGAGTGGACTGATAATTCTTGGGGGAAAAGGGGGTGTGAGGGGTGCGGGAAGAGATTGGACAAAAATCTTACACCTATGGATGAGGACAGTGGCAGGGAGTAAGGGCGGGGGCGGGGGATCAGGTGAAGGAGAGGTATGGGGGGGGGAAAGAGGAACATCTGTAATAATCTGAACAATAAAGATTTATTAAAAAAATAAAAAGTAAAATAAAATACAGAGCAACATCATTCAAAACCACCTGAAAGCTGGCCAAATGGAAGTCCTCCTAGGAGGGGCAGAAGTGTGGTACAGGCTAGAACAGCACCCACGTGGGCCGTTTGTTTCATCAGATTGGAGATCATCCCTGTGGAGAAGCAAGGGGTCCCAGTCCCACCCTTGGGTTCCACAGCTGGGAATAGAAGTGCCCATAACTACAGCTGTAGAAACAAGCAGGTACTGGGGCTCAGTGACATGGAGGCTGCTGGAAACCCAGATGTTCCTTTTAAAGGGCTGGCACATGAACTGAACTTACAAGGTCCTACTTCCTCTGCCCCAGTGCCAGGGTGAGGCTCTGGAGGACCCAGACACATATGAGGAGGAACTGGATTGTCTGGCATTGGAACAGGAACTTGGGAGCAGCTTTTTCCCAGACAGAGGTGCTTGCAGAGGTCATTGTCCTTGTGCTGGGACATCCCCCATCGCAGATCTGACTGGCAGCCATATGTGAGCTTCCATCAGCATGTCCCACAATGTGCTCTCTGTACTGGTGATTCCTTGAGACCCCCACGCTATCCAATTTGCAGCCCTACCCAAGCTGTTTGCAGTGGCTTTTGCATCTGAATGTCCTGCTCTGGCTCAGGCTTCTGACTTTGTTAAAATCTCTCAAACATGCTGCAGCTGAGCAGCATGCTCCAAACTGATCAATAAAAGGCCCAAGACCCTGCACTAACATAAGCATGCCTTACTTTACAGCTGGCCCTTCCCTGCCCAAAACAAATAGCTCCTGCAGGGTGGCCCCAGGCAGTGGCTGACTTTGCACCTCCATGAAGAGCCTAGCAGATTACAACTCTACACATCCATAAGCAACACACTCAAGGGGCAGACTCAGTGAGCACCAAAGCCCCACTGAAGCAAGTCCTGCTCCATAGGGGTATTTTATGCACAGCAGCTCTCCCACTATAGTCACAACTGGTCCTCATAGCCAATTGTCCTGGAGGTCAATTCCTCCCAGTGACGCCAACAAAAATCAAGACTCAACTACAACAAGACTGTGCACAGAGCCCATACAGTGGCTCATCTAGAGTGTCCAGCTCAGGTAACTGGGAAGGCTGAGCTACTGAGCCCTATAGGACACCTACTACACAAGCCACTCTTCCAAATCAAGGAGGCACAGCAGCTCTACCTAATACATAGAAACAAACACAGAGAATCAACCAAAGTGAGGAGACAAAGAAAAATGACATGAATGAAACAAATGGAAGAAAGCAAAATTTTGGATACAGGTTCAAATCCATGATTATAAGCTTACTCAAGGATCTTCATGAGACTTTCAAGGATTTTATTGAGAATGTCAAAGACTTGAAAAAGGACCAGAAATTAAGCATATATTAATTAAAATAAAGAATACTATAAAGGGATTCAGCAGTAGAGTAGAGGAGTCTGAGGATCAAATCAATGATGAGGCAGATGAAGATGCATAAAACACCCAATCAGAAGAGCAAAAAGAAAAGAGAATCCAAAAATATTAAGCTAGTGTAAGGAGCCTCTGGGACAACTTCAAGTGTACTAACATTCTCATTATGGAGGTGCCAGAAGGAACAGAGAGAGCAAGATATTGAAAACCTATTTGAAGAAGTAATGACAGAAAACTTCCCCTACCTGGTGAAAGAAATACTTACAAGTCCAAAAAGTGCAGAGTCTAGTCAAGAGGATTTCAATGAGGCTCACATCAAGACACATCAAATTAAAATGCCAAGGGCAAAAGAAAAGAGAGAATCTTAAAAGCAGCAAGAGGAAAGCAGGTAGTTACCTACAAGGGAGTGCTCATATGACTCAGTTGATTTCTCAACAGAAACTATGGAGGCCAGATGGGAGTGGCAAGAAATATTCAAATAATAAGGACCTACAATCAAGAATAGTCTACCCAGCAAAGCTCTTATTTAGAATTAAAGGTCAGATAAAGATCGTCACAAACAAGAAAAATTTAAAGGAATTCATCACCACCAAACCAGTATTACAGGAAATGTTGAAGGGTATTGTTTATGAAGAAGAGATTTAAAAAAATATGAACAATAAAATGGCAACAAATACATATATATCAATAATTGAATCTAAAAATCAAAATAAGAAATATCATGAATGAAATAAATCGGTGACTAAAATAGAACCAGAGGCATGGAAGCATGGAACAGACTGATGAATCTCAGAGGGAAGGGGAGAAGGGAGGCTGGAAGAGATTAACCAAAGATCTTACCCATGGACACAGAGTGAAGGCCTGGAGCAGGTTGGGAACCATGTGAAGGGAGGCCTTGGCGGGTAGGAGGAGAGAAGAAAATCGGTAATACTCTCAACAGTAAAGATTTAAAGAAGAAAAAAAAATGTAGAAAATCAGAGACATTGTGAAGTTTACATTCTGGGAGTCAGACAAAGACTACAGACAGACAAACTATGAAACTGGTGTCAAGGAACGTAATGGAGGGAGTGGAAGAGGACATGTGGCAGTGAAAGTGGGGTTTGATCTTGGACAGAGTGGCATTTGTGAAGTTAATGAAGAAGCCTGCTCTCTACAGAAGCCAGTGTAGCTGGAGAAGTGGGAAGAGTTCCTGTTAGAGGGGCTGGGCAGATTGTGCAAAGCCTTCTAGGTCAGAGTGATGACAGGTTTTACTGAGTGAGATATGACTAGGGAAAGCAGTGATCCCCATAGCTGCCCTATGAAGATGGTAGGAGAGGATGTGTCAAGGTCTCGTGAACAGGGATTGGCAGAGATGGGGCTCTAATTCAGTATGACTGCAGAGCCTCTGTCCTAACAACTTGTGAGTCTGAAACCCGTTAGATGATGGGATACATAACTAGCAGCCTTATCGCTGTTGCCAGGCTCAAGCCTCAGGTGTCCATGGTCATGGGTGTCATAGTATCACTGATGCTTTTTGTGGGCAGATGTTGAATCTGTATTCAGGAAGAAGTCTGCTTCTTCAGCCAAACTTCTCATTCAGGGCCATTCTCTGGTGACTCCCTCTTTTCCCCCCATCCCACCATGGTGTGCTGTGGAAGTGGGAGCTGGCTTTGTTTTAAAGCAGAATTCCTTTCTGCAGTAGGGTGCAGTGGGATGAGGGTGTAGAACAGGACCAATGTCTAAGTCTGCTTTGTCTTTGCTGCTTCTGCCTGAACATTCAGATTCTGAGAGTCAAGACGAAATCATCCAGAATATCGCCAGACAACTTGCCCATATAGGGGACAGGATGGACCGCAGTGTCCCCCCAAGACTGGTGAATCACCTGGCAATACAATTTATGAATGGGAACCTGTCAGAGGAAGTAAGTGAGAAACGCTTTGGTGCCTTCTCTGGGTTGAGAAGTATAAGGGCTTTTTGTATTGTCAGTTTAACCAACAAGGTCTGCCCTCTGTCTGCTATCAGACCAGTGTTCAGTGAGGTAACTCAATTCATGACTGTCCACAAAAGCATTGGAAATAGAAATTATAGCATGGTTAATTGTCTTTTAGAAATGAGTCAAAGAATTTCAGGATAAAAGCCTCTAAAAAGATGAACAAAATGTATATGACTCTTCCAGAAATAACTTTCTTTAGTTGTAAGGAGCTGAATAAAACTGCCAACAGAGAACTTTAAGTCATTTACTCAGTTGTGATAGGGAAAGCAACATGTTAACCTTCTACTCTTGACTTCATGGTTGTAATCCACATACTAATACTTATAGAGCTTCTATCATTAGCCAAGCATTGTGGGGATACAAAAATAGGTCTAAGACACTAGGAAACTTAGTGGGAGAAATACCTCAAGGTATTTTTTTGACTACCAGCTAAAAATGCAAGTACTTCTCACTACATAGAAATGTATTTATTCTCCAATGTTCAATCAGGCCAGGTCTCCTGCCTGCAAGAAGGCTTATCCCCTCTTTAGTGGTCTCTTCCCATGTGATGGTCTCCCTAGTTGTCACAGAATCTATAAGCATCCAGTGATGTTCTGCCTGGGACCTTTCCCACAGTGTTAACTCTCCATGAAAGTAATGAGCCTGCAGGCCCTCTCAGGTCTAATGTCCTATTGTGTGCCTGTTCCAGGTGGGAATATCACATGCAGCCCCTCCTCCCTCCCTCTAGCAAGCAAGGTCTGTGACAGTAACTGGGCATACGATATCTTGGGTAGTTAACTAATTCTTGATTTGAAGTGCTTCAGAGGTAGGGAATAACTTGGCTTCTTTAGTTCTATCAGTGTTGCGTGTGCACACAGATGCTCAGTGACCATGCATTTGGTTAATGAGTGTTCCACTCCAGGGAGTAATCTCAGTCTTCCCTTTCCATCTCCTCTTAGAACTAAATTGTTTCTCATTCTCTCTTCCAACCACCTTAGCTATTTAGTAAATACTTCCTTGTGAAATGAGAGCATGTTTCTTCATGCTTTCCACTGGAGGACTACTTTTCACTTAAAAGAGAAAAATATTAGTGACCTAGCCTTCTGCTTTCACCTCTGTACAGGACAGAAGGGAGTGCCTTGCTGCTGCCCTGGAGCAGGTCATGCAGACGCATCCTAAAGACATGGAGAAGGAGAAGACTATGCTGATGTTGACCATGCTGTTGGCCAAAAAGGTGGCCGATCACACACCATCCTTGCTCAGTGATGTCTTTCGCACAACAGTGAATTTTATTAATCAGAACCTACTCACCTATGTGAGAAACTTAGTCAGAAATGTAAGAACCAATGTTGTCAGCTTCTTGGCATTTCACTAAATCCTCTTGGTGTCTGCCTACTTCCTATATCCATTTCCCTCTAAGGTCAGGAAACTAAGCAGAGACCTCTGCTACTTTCCTCCCTTCTTTCTGCTTCTGATGACCAAACCACAAGGAAGGCTATTATAAACCTTCCTGTTTAGGCAAAAAGGCTTGGTTTTGCTTTCATGAACAAGAACATTATGTAGTAGGAGGTAGCAATGAAAAAAAAAAGCTTTTGAGCTTTATCAGCTTCATTTCCTAAAAAATTTTATTTAAAAAAATTTATTTCAGAGAGAAAGGGAGAGGGAGGAAAACATCAATGATGAGAGAATCATTGATCGGCTGCCTCCTGCATGCCCCCCACTTGGGATCAAGCATGCAACCTAGGCATGTGCCCTGACCAGCAATCGAATTGTGATCTCCTGGTTCATAGGTCGATGCTCAACCATTGAGCTGTGCTGGCTGGGCAGCTTCATTTTTTTTAAGATTGCTACTATCATTGGAGGAAGGCTCATTTCATACTGTCCATAGAATTGTACTAGTGTGATATAGGTGTTATAGACACTTAGAGCATGAAAGAAAGTGGCTGAGAGATTTAAGCTGAGCATCCCTAGATCTGCTGTCAACTTCACCTTGTCACAAAAATAAGTATAATTAAATTCTTTAAAGACATGCTTACAAAACAAACAAATGAAAACATGCTCACTAAGAAGGATGAAGGTGAGAGAGACCAAAAGGAGATTTAAAAAAAAAAAGGCAAGGAGGAGAGGTTATCTAAAATTGGTCCCAGAAAACATCTGGATATTAAGTCAAAGAAGGCTAGACAGTCAATGTCTGCTGCTTCAGTTTCATAGAGCCAACTGGATGTTCAATGGCTATATCTTTTCTCTAAATTTGAAAATATTAGTATTTGGGATTTTATGTGCCAGAAGCATTACTCAGGCATCCAGCCCTCTTAAAATTAGTGATAAACCTTAAAAGCTTTCTTGATCTGCTTTGGACTTTAGTTATACCAGCATTTTGAAACAGGAGAATGAATATAAATCTCAAATCAGGTATTAAACCATGCTGAATTATTGGAAACAGGTACACCTGAGAAAGTTCCTAGACAGTGTTCACCAACCACAACTCAAGGGGAGTAAATGGGCAAGACATCAACAGGAGTCTGTATTAACAGCTTACCAAATACTAATCAGCTCAAACAGAATCTTGATTCCTTGGACCCAAGAAGTCTCTTGGCACCATAAGTGACCCAAAAATGGGAATACCCACATCTCAGAACCTTAAAAGTCTGTTTTTGCAGTTGCTCTCATGGAGCAAAACATAAGATGCGATGATATAAAGATAACAGGGCTCCAGAGAACATGTTTCTGCAGAACTCTCAGTTTCACTTGTATTTCTTATGGCACTGGAGTTCTTAAGGGCTGAATTCTGGCTTGTAAATTAAAACAGCTAATTTAGACTTTAGAAAATGATCATCAGTAAAGCAGTAACATCTATTAAATTATAGGTGTGGAGCACTAAAAAACTCACATGGGAGTTAACCCAAATCTATGGAGATGGCTGTAATAGAAACTGTATTTTAGAGGTGCTAAATAAATATATACTAAAGGTTTTATGTTGGTTGGGTGAGGAGCTATAGATTATAATTAATCCTTGAAGCCAGTTAGAAACTCAAAAGTTTTGGCAGATACTGTTAGATGCCCCCAATTTCTGTCCTCCCTATCTTCTGTAGTTATAGGATTTATAACTGGGTTCTTTTGGTCTACATATCCCAGGTTCTTTTGTAAGCCAGGTGTGACCTATGACTTTTGATTAAAGAGATGCAGGCAGAAGTGATACATACATCTCTGTACTGTGTCCCTGAAGAGAAGGGATCTGCCCTCTACTTCTCCCCCTGTCCATAGATTGAAGTGTGCATGAGGATATGGGTACATAGGTGAGGACTTTATCTTAGTGACAAGGATCAGTAAGAGAGGCTCCTGGATCCTAAGACTGAGGTGCTGACTGCTGACATATAATTAGAGAAATAAATCTTGTTTAAGTCATATGTAGATTACCTGTCATAGAAGTTGAATGTACATTCTAATAAATGTAATGTACATTTGGTAAAAGTGAAGGATGTAGAACTTCTAATCATTTTTAAAGATTGGTAAATAATGGCCATAGGCCAAATCTAGCCTGCTGCTTGTTTTTATAAACAAAGTTTTATTGTAATACAGCCATGCTCATTCATTTGTGTATTTTCTCTGGCTGCTTCCACACTGACAAAGAGCATATGGCCAAGACTGAGTGGCCTACAGAGTCTAAAATATTATCTGAGCCATAACAGAAAGTGTCCCTGCTGTTAGAAGGAAAGAAAAAGAAAGCCTGGTCATCAATATAAGTTAGAAAAGAGGGAGAAACAGTAAATAGGAAGTCATAAAAAAGAATTCCATATATATAAAAACCTAACCAGTCTATATGACATGCACTGACCACCAGGGGCCAGATGCTCAACACAGGAGCAGAAACCACAGGCATGGAAACATGGAACAGATTGATGAATCTCAGAGGGGAGTGGGAAGGAGGGAAGGCAGGAAGAGATAAACCAAAGATCTTACATGCATACTAGAGGCCTGGTGCATGGATTTGTGCACTGAGCCTCTAGTTTGAAATAAAGGTTAGAAATATGACTAAACATATTGGTGGGGGGAAATTATACTGGCTAATTCTCGTTTTTCCTTTCTTGATCTAGGAGATGGACTGAACGGATGACTGCAAAGCATGTCTGGTTAAAACTTGATACAGGACAGCAGTTAGCTGCCTCTGGTGGAGATGGAGTTGTGACCACTTAGAGTTCTTAGAGAAGACAGGCACAAGATAACAGTTATTTATTTCTCATTATTTTTAAAGGTGATTTTTAGGTCCCATGACCCATTTAGGAATCTCTACAGTAATATACTTGAATAAAAATGTCAACTTGGACATATTGAACAAACTTGATCCCCTTTTTTATCTTACACATTGTGGCTTTATCTTATTTCACTTGAACATTAAAGTTAAAAACAGTTTATAAGGCAGAAGAAATAAAACAAATTTTTTCATTTAAAAAAACCATCTACTGTTTATTAAAGTGCAACCTCAGGGCATAGTCTTACAGTAGTGTTGTGTAAGGGGAGCAAAGACCAGAGGAAGAAAGCACATATCCCTTACAAAGAAAAATTCCTTGCAGAACAGGGACCTCTTAATATTACTAAAGAATAGTTTTCTGGTTTAAAAACCAGACAGTACAGGAGATTCTGGATTCAGAGCATGTTGGACTTTTTCCAACTTGATTTTCCTTTCATTAAGAGTCAAGAAAAACCATAGGCAAATAAAAAGGTATGGAGGCGATTTAAAGGCCAGTGTCACCAAATTTCCAAAACTGGGTAACTAAAGGCACATTTTCTTTTTCTAAGAAGTCAAGGTGGCGTACCAGACACTACTGCATGTGAAGGACTGTCGGGTAATAATTTTGTATTTTCATTTTCTAGTCATAGCCCTCAATTCAAGCTTAAGAGGTTACATCAGGAGTGAACAGGTTTTTCTAGGCATAAAAAACAGCCTGGCCAGCATGGCTCAGTGGTTGAACATCATCTCATGAACCAAGAGGTCATGATTCGATTCCCGGTCAGGCACATGCCTATGTTGCAGGCTCGATCCCAAGTGTAGGATGTGCAAGAAGGCAGCCAATTGATGATTCTCTCTCATCATCTATCTCTCCCTCTCACTTTCTCTCTGAAATCAATAAAAATATATTTTAAAAGAAGTGAAAAACTAGACTTAAAAATTCAACAGTTGAATAGTTGCCTTTTCTACAGATACAGATAGAATACAATAACAAAGTCAAATTTCTTAGATAATGCCAAATCAACCAGGGAGCACATACATTTAAAAATAGTGCCAAGGTGTCTATGGTTCCAAGCAACGATTGTTTCCTAAGGTTACATTTGCATGTATGATGGTGGATGTTGGGTCCATGTCACACACATTACCTTTTACTCTATACTAATACTCTTGTTTCTGTGAACATGACACTGTGGAGAAGGACTGAATAAGAGTAATGAAATGAAGTACTAATATATAGTTCCTTGTTACCAATTTTAAGTTTCTTGAGTTTTTAAATTAATCAGAAAAGAAAAAATGACTATCATTCTGCATTAAATACTTGAAACACTAGAGTTGGGGCTCAATCTGATATCTGCAATATGTTGCAGATATTAAAAGCAAATAGATGACATGCAGTATGAATGCCATCATTTGAAAAACATTTTCTAGTAATGCTATTATTATGAATGTTTTGGAATGGACTTTCCCCCCCAAAGGATACATATCAGAAACACATATAGAAACAAGTTAATCACACATATACTTACATACACTCTCATCCATATAATCAGATTTTCACTGGGGGTAGATATTTTCTTCTAGAAAGAGCAATTTAAAAATAGTCGACTAAACAAATGGAAAAGAGCCTTGCAAATATACCTGAGAACAATTCTAACCTGAGCAAAAGCTGCTTGGCTAGGGATATTGTAAACAGAGTTCACAGGTGGAAGACCCGGGTGACAGGGTAGGTAGAGGTTAGTTTTGTGTAAAGGAAAAAGCAGGATTTATTAATAAATATAGTAACATGACAGACTCTAACTCTCCATGGAGGGCTATATTGAAGTAACTAAACAATAGTGACTGAATTAAAATCAGTATTCTATAGGCAAGGTTACTATTAACTTTACATTCCCCAGTGTACTATGGAATGAATGGAAGGTGTGCACTGGGAGTCAACTTATTGCCAGCTTCTGAGCAAGACAGGTTTCTGGCTGTGTCTGCTTAACCCTCTTAAATGAGTATTGAAAAGTCTACCAAGGCCTAGAGTTTGCCTCCACAACCCATGGCACAGGCAGGGGAAATAGAACAGGCAGGTAACAAACTAGGAAAAAAGGAAGAGAGTCATGGTGCTACCTTCAAATCATTCAGTGATGATTCCTGTGTCAGATTGCCTTACCCTTGTTCACAAGAAATACTTAACACATTAAGTAAGAAAGCAATTGATAACTGCTAATTATTCATAAGGCATCTCATTCAATATTTGAGGCAAAACATTTGGTATAATTAGGAATTGGGAATAATCCTGGACATCTCATTTGTTTGGGACAACGTGCTCAGTATTTACTAATTAGGCACACAAAATGGTAAGCATAGGTTGCTCTTGTGCAGCAATTGGCACAGCCGTGTGCAGAGAGCCTGCCAATACTATTTTGCAGGGTCACAAAAATAGTAAAAACTTGAAAAAGCACTAAACTTGGAGTCAGAAAAATTCCAATCATTGCCTCTCATATGCTAGAACACTTTAGAAAAGTTAGTAAATACTCAACTGATATTTGCTGAAATTATAATTACCCACACTTCTTTTTAGAAAAAGGATATTCTAATATGGAAAAATGTGCACTCTGAGTTCAAACCCATGTCATCGTTTAACCCTCTCAGTTATAATAGGATATTATTACTAATGGCACATCTTGGTCCTCCACGAAAGAGGCAACTTTCAGGCATCAAGTGTATTGCTGAGATTTTAAATGAAAGAATGCTTTGAGGGTATTGGTTCAGAGGCTAGAAGCCTATGAAGTGTTCAGATAGTGATATTTCATTAGGAGGACCAGCCTGATGATATAAAAATCATCTCAAATTTTTTGAGAGATAAGTTTGTGTAAAAAAAAAAAAAAAAAGAAAAGGGAAAATTTTTCTTACCTGCAATACCTTTTATTTCTAGAAAACATCTCTTAAAATAATTGAAAAATTCTATGGGTATGATATTTGTTTACATGTCATACTTTTAGGAAAAAAACAAGAAAGCATGCATCACTTTTATATTACTAAAGAGAATCAGCACAGAAGCTGGGGAAATTAATGGTAGCTGTGGTTCAAAAAACCATGTTCTGTGTTTGCCATTTATTCCCCCGGTACAAACCCAGGCAGTAGTAGCTGCATTTAATACAAGAGATGGGACATAGGCGAGAGGAGGTATCAAGGATGACTTTGGGTGGTGAATGAGTGAACCAGAAGGTCAACGGTTGTTTTTCTTCATCTAGAAAGCTTTCTTTTTAGAGGGCAATGTGACCATCAGAGTCCTCCTAAGGCACAGTGTAGAAATGGATTTCTTTGGGCTCAGAATGATCATTTATTAAAGAAGATAAATTAGCATCCTTTAATTCTAGTATTTTTCTTAAACATTCACTAACTTTTTGCCAAGTGATCAGAAACCATATAAGACTAACAAAAACTTTTCCTCAATAGTTCAAAGAATGAGAAATTATAAACGGTGATATTCTTAATTCTGCATTTGAGTTGGATTTATTGTGAATTGTCCTTTTTCTTAGATTTAGGTGCTCTATACGTTGGGACAGAAGGGAACAGCCTCCTACTACCAGCCCTCATTAAAAAAAAAAAAAAAAAAAAAAAAAAAAAAAGGGTGGGTAACATGATTTTCTTTTAAATATAATAGGAGTTGCTGTAAGAAGCAGTCCTTATTAGGGTATTCCCTTACACTGTCAGAGGCAGAAGATAAGGAAATGAAGAAAAAACATGGACACTAACCATCCTATTAACTCAGGAACTTTCAACAATTCAATCTAGAGAAAGCCAATGGAAAAGAATAGCTATTTACCATTACACAGCAAAATCCAATTGGCCAAATAACTTTGGGTTAATGTTCAAGAGACAGGAAAATAAAGCAGCAATGGTAGCATCGTATCACATGTCTTGCTCTTTTCTTTAATGGAGGACACAGACCCAAATATCCTAAGCCACATATCTCTCTGTCTAGCATAAGGTGACCACATGTCCCGATTTTTAACAATTTGTCTCATGTCCCATGGCGTTTAAAAAAAGTCCTGATTTTTGGAAAGATTCTTTTAAATCTTTGGGACTTTTTTAAAACCCCACAGGACACAAGACAAGTGGTTAAAAAGCGGGATGTCTGGTCACCTTACTCTAGCAGCTCAGAAACGAACTTGGTTTACATTAGTGCTTAAATGTGTTCAGCCATTGGGTTTGAGGATACAGAGTTTAAAAGTGTGATCTCTGGAAGGAAAATATTTTATTATAAACTAGAGGCCTGGTGCATAAATTCTTAAATTGGTGGGATCCAGCCAGCCCGCCCCCATGGGGGCCATCAGGGGTGGGCCAGCTGGTGTGGGGGCCAATTGGGGGTAGGGATGGCCGGGGCGAGGGGCCGCAGGTGTTCTGGTATTTGGTCAATTTCCATAATACCCTTTTATTATATATGGGGGGTGGGGGGGAGGAGATTAAGATAACACACCAGTTTGCTCTTATCCTATGCAAACACAAAATGTAGCAATTAGGACAGAGTAATCCACTGCAACAGTCAGAGCCCAAGAAGGAAATAATTCTTTACTACATGAATCCCATTTCCCCCCTCATCCCTAGCTGTATTATTCAATATGCACCAAAATCTTTAAAAACATCACTCACTTCTGAACTTTTCTTGACCAACTTTTAAATAGCATTGCGTTAGGGAGAAGATTTAATTTTTAAAAATATATTTTTAAAAGAAAGCACATTTAAAACACATTTTGGTGACCAGGATAAGGCAAAGTAATTTTACAACAAATTTCACGATCTAAAAAAATAATTTGTTACATTTACTAAGGTAAATCTGAGATGACTTATGTATCAAACAAGTATTTCCTGCTAGTGACACCATGATCCTCAGGCATAAAATGACACTTCTCACCCTTCCAGAGGTGGGATCAGCCAGATGAAAGAAAATTACGCTGATTCTCAACTAGTACATATAATTAGGATCATTGTGGTTTATCACACTGGCATTTGGACTGTGAAGATTTCAGTGAAGAAGCCTAAAAGCCAAACTAGAACTCAAGGGTAACCAAGAAAGTCAAGCTTCTTTTTTCATACTTTTTATTTCAATGATATTTAGGAGACTTTCTATATTTCATAAGAGTTAAAACTCAATTGGTCTGTAAGCTAAGTATAAAAATGCAGTAAAGGACCGCAAAGGAGTTAGGTGGCAGACCATTAACATTAAGGCCAGATAGTATAGGGAAAAACACTAGCCCAGGTATAGACAGTGACCATCCAGCAAGGGAGATGCTGCTGGTGGATAGCCATAAATTCAATAGGATGGCCATACACAAAAGAGCTCCAGAGGTCATTTAAGCCATTTTCCTGCTTCTAAACGAGACAGATCTCTCTCTCGTCAGTTACTTGTCATAGCACTTATAGGTAGGGAGCCCCCTCCCTGCTTTTTACAGATTACTAAAGGTAGTATCTACAAAGTGAAACTATAAGAAGTATCAGAGACTTGAGAGGTACAGAGCAAGCACACTCAATGGATCTTAGGAGAAACCTGGGGGTGAAGAGGAGGAGTGTGGTACCTGAGAAGCAGCTGTGACATAAGAGGAGAATACTCAGACTATAGGATTAAAAAGTTGGGGAAGAAAAAAGCCGAAAAGGAATGACTGCAAACACAACATGTTCATCAGAAAAGATGGAATTCTAAGGGCAGGACCGAGTTCCTCTTGCCTGGGAACTTCTATCAAAGATACTCCTAAATTAACCCTCTCCCTCTGAAGCTGTGGCCCATAAGAGGGAATCATTTTACTCCCAAGGACATTTGGCAATGTCAGGAGAAATTTTTGGTTTTAACAACTGGGGGAGAGTTGCTACTGATATTTAGTGGGTACAGGTCAGGGATTTTGCTAAACACAATGCACAGGACAAATTCCTACAACGAAGACATTTCAAGATATAATTAATGCAGATATTGAGAAACCTGTATCAGAGGAAGTACTTTGCTCTTAAGATCCAGAATCTACCATGAGCCAAGACCTTTGGAACTTACAACCAGACAAACATGAACACCCTCTACCTCAAGCAAAAAATCTCTATCCAAGAGGGTTCCACAAATGTACAATCATCTGCTGGCAGTTCGTACAACTGCCAGCAGATGATTGTATTTAGTCAATACAACTAAAGCCTAATATCTTTTTTGTCTTATTTCTCTTCTAAAACATGCTATTTCTTTCTCAGAGCCAATGCTACTCCAACTGCCACAGCCAGGATAGCAAAAGCAGCAGCCCCTCCAAACAACAGTATAGACTTGCCCTCAGACAATGCCATAGACTTCTCTTCTCCAGCAGGGTAGGACCCTTCCATAAGACTCTTTTTCCTTATAGTCATCTCTTCACTCAACAGTGTTTTTGTGGGTTCCAGTATAGGGATCATCTCCTCTCTTTCAGTAGGTTCAATTATAGCTGCTTTCATCTCATCTTCATCAAGTTCTACAAATAATGATGTAGCTGGGCTGACTTTCTCAACTGCAGTCATTTCTGTGTCAGATTCTCTCATGCCCAGCAAGGAAGTGACAGTAATATGTGGAAGCAAGGGAGCTGGGGCTTTAGGGAGTGCCTCTTGCAGCTCCCTGGTTGACAAGACTACAGATGTCACAGCAGCCTCTTCCACACCCTCGGGTATTTCTTCTTTCTCAACATGCACAATGTCAGAATTAGAAGAATTGTTTTCACTCTTCTCTCCAGCCCCATTGCTATCTAAGCTTTTTACTTCGGGATCCATTGTGATCTGCTGCCAGGACTCAGGACCCAGGGACACTGGTAGGCTTTCGGTATGCCAACTCTGGCTGACTGACAGGGAAATAGGTAAGCTCTCTGACTGCCAAGAAGTAGTCACAGTTGGAGACTCTGGAGGACTGACTTGTCCAGAATTGTCACTGGGAAGGATATAAATGTCATTGCTATCTTCGGCAACAACTTCAGGGTATTCCTCCTCCTTGGACTCAAGATTAAAGACAGTGCCCTAGAAAAGGAGGAGAGTCAATACAAAGAATGGTAAATATATTTTAAATAAATGTAAATCTGGAACAAAAATTATTTTCTAAACTGAAGTTGCAGGAATAAATACATTATTTAAACCTACACACAGTCCAAATGTTCTGGATTAAGTGCATTTACTTATAGATCAATGCAGAGGAAGAATTTTTAACAAGATGGTAAAACATTTTTAAAAGTTATTAATAATTTATACTCAATTCAATTATTAATGCAAAATAGAAAAAACAAAGATAAGAATCTTGCTCTCAAGGAACTTATGATTTAATAGGATACAAAAATAATGATTTATTGCAGTCTAAGTGTAATTAAGAGTTCAGAGGGGGAAATGATGTTTTGGTAGAGGTGGGAGAGGGCAAGGAGATGACTGAAAGCGTCATGAAGGAAGCAGCATCTATATGGACATCTGAAGATTGGATGAAAGCCACAAAGAAGATACAATATGAGCAAACACATAGAAATACTAAAAGGGGGATTAGGAAGTAGCTCAGCTTAGTTAGTATAAAGTATACATGAATAAGAATAGAAAGTTCAGTTAAGATGCACTGCGAGGAATTTGACAGAGAGCTAAGTAGTATGAATTTGTATTCAATAGGAAATGTTTAGTCAATTAAGTCTTTGAGCTACAAAACAACAAAGCCCCTTACAATTATTTTGACAGCACTGTGGGACTCTCTTGCTTCCCTCCTTTAACAAGAGTCTACAAAAAGCAAATAGTATCATTTTTCTTTTCCACATTTAACAGGTTAGTTTAATAGGACCCTATTGCAGTGTTAGGCACTGAAGTTATAAGAAGAATGAGACCCAAATCTTGTTCTTAAAAAATTCACTGTCTAGCCCTAGCTGGCTTGGCTCAGTGTACTGAGCGTCGGCCTGTGGACTGGATAGGATATAAATGTCATTGCTATCTTCGACAACAACTTCAGGGTATTCCCAGGTTTGGTTCTCAGTCAAGGGCATATGCCTGGGTTGTGGTATTGCTCCCTAGTGTGAGGCATACAGGAGTCAGCCAATCAATGATCTTCTCTTATCATTGATATTTCTTTCTTTCATGCCCTTCCTCTTTGCAATCAATAAAAATGTATATATATATTTTAAATTCACTGTCTATATGCAAAACTGGCATATGAATAATGAGTTTCAGTGTAATATGGATTTTAAGATAGATGTATGCACGGAGTGCTAGGGGAACCCAGAAGTTAAGAAATAATGAAAAACACAGGAAGAGAACCAACTGAATGTAATGTCAAGAGATCTACAGGAAATTTTACAAAAAATTTGGGTGGCACTCATAAATGCTACAGAGAATTTAAATAGGATATGCAATTCCTAATTCATTATGTGATTATGGCTAACATAGACTACTTTTAATCTTCAATCAAGATAAAAACAATCTTTCAGTGTTTACTAAGGCTCTAATATAAATCTAGTCACCCCACTAAGAAGAGAAAAACAAATATACAACTAAGCAAAATACATGATCATAATGTCGACATTCTACCTCAACCCTGCTTCAGTGTCTTAAGAAGTCCTGAAAACCCAGGGACCATGACCGTGGGAGCCACTGCCGGGCCCACTGCTTGAAACCAGGATCCCATGACCACACAACCTGCCACCAAGCCCATCACTGCAGCCACAGGCCCCATGTGACTCAATGCCTAGTTTCTTTGGTAAGAGCAAAAATGGGGAGACAAAGATACAACCCCAAAGCTAAGAAAAAGAGAAGTCACCAGGAAAGGTACTGAAGGAAACAGGCAAGCAACATGCCAGAAAAAGAATTCAGAGTAAGGGTCATACAGTTTTTAAATGTTCTGGATAAGAAAATCAACTTACGTAAGAATAAAGAGGAAATAAAAACTGATATAGCTACAATAAAATACAGTATGGAAGGTCTCAACAGTAGACTAGGAGAAGCTGAGGACCGAATTAGCAAATTAGAAGATAGGGAAGCAAAACACACACATTCTGAACAGCAACTGGAGGGAAAAATTAGAAAGCATGAGGAGAGCCCAAGAGAGTTTTGGACAACATGAAATGAAGCATCATATGTATATTACGGACGCCAGAATGACAAGAGGAACAAGGGTTAGAAAACCTATTTGAAGAAATAATGTCAGAAAACATCCCTGATTTGGGGAAGAAAAGGTTATACAAGCACAAAGAGTCACAAACAAGATAAACCCAAAAACCTGCACCTGGACATGTCTTAATTACAATGGCAAACGCTAATGGCAAAGAGGGAGTGTTAAAGGCTGTAAGAGAGACAGAGTTACCTACAAGGGATCTCCCATTAGATTATAAAATGATTTCTCAACAGAAACACATCAAGACATAAAGGAATGGAAGGAAGTATACAAAGTGATGCAAAGAAAGGAACTGAATCCAAGAATAGTCTATCCAGCAAATAAACCTTTTCCCTGTCAAATCATTCAAATTTGACAGGGAAATCAGGAGCTTCACAGACAAAAAAGAGCTAAAGGAGTATATCACTATCAAGCCAGTAATGCAAGAAATGCTAAAGGTATTTGTAAAAAGAAGAAATAGAGAAGAAGGAACACAAGCACAAGAAATAAAAATGGATACAAACAAGTAATTAACAATAATAACCTTAAATGTAAGTGGACTAAATGCTCCAGTCAAAAGACATTGAGTGGCTCAGTGGATAGACATCAGCCTGTGAACTGAAGGGGCCCAGGTTTTATTCCAGTCAAGGTTGCTGGCACATCCCCAGTAGGGAGTGTGCAGGAGGCAGCTGATCCATGTTTCTCTCTCATCAGTGTTTCTAACTCTCTATCCCTCTCCCTTCCTCTCTGTAAACATCCATAAAATATATTTAAAAAAGAAAAGAAAATTAAAGCTTTTGTTTTTGGGGGGCCCACATAAACTAAAACCCTGTTTATTTGGCCTGTTAGCCTTTGAGTTTGACATGCATTCCCCAAAGACTCCAATAAAAAAATTATTAGAATTAATAAATTCTGCAATGTAGCAGGATACAAAATTAACACCAGATATCTATGGCTTTTTTTATACACCAATAGTGAATTTATGTAAAGAGAAATTTTAAAAACAACCCTATTTACCATTTCAACTACAAAAAAATTAAGATACTTAGGAGTAAACCTTTTGTATGCCGTAAGTGTCCATAGATGCTTTAAAAAGTCATTTTCCATGAGAATTATCAAGTGAAAATATTCAAGAATATCCTAATTGTAACATATTTTTATAATAGTCATTGCAAATTGATTTTAAAAATTAAATTAAAAATATCATGGCATGTGGGGATGGTTTCCATTTTGGATCTGTGGCAGTTAACAGGTTAACTAATGAGGTAAAACACCTGTACTTGGAAAACTCTAAGACACTGGAAAAAGAGGTAGAGGAAGACATAAACAAATGGGAGAATATACTGTGTTCATGGTTTGGTAGAATCAGCATCTTCAAAATGTCCATACTGCCCAAAGCAATCTATATTTTCAATGCACTCTCCATTAAAGTATGAATAGCATACTTCAAAGATCTAGAACAAACTCTCCAAAAATTCATCTGGAATAAAAAAAGACCCTGAATAGCTACAGAAATCTTGAAAGAAGAATAAATTTGGAGGGATCACAATACCAGATGTCAAGCTGTATTACAAATCCACTATTCTAAAAAATGCCTGGTACTGGCACAAGAATAGACATATAGACCAGTGGAACAGAACAGAGAACCCAGAAATTCACCCAAGCCATTATACTCAATATTTGACAAAGGAGACAAGAGCACACAGTCAAGACAGTCTCTTCAACAGATGATGTTGGAAAAATTGGACAGATATATGCAAAAAAATGAAACTAGACCACCAATTTACACCATACACAAAAATGAACTCAAAATGGGTAAAGGACTTAAATATAAGACGAGAAACCATAAAAATCTTAGAAGAATCCATAAACAGCAAAATAGCAGACATTTGTTGTAGTTATATCTTCACCAATATAGCTCCTAGGACAATGGAAACTAAGGGGTAAAAATAAACAAATAGGACTACATAAAAATAAAAAGCCTCTGCACAAAAGAAACCATCAATAAAACAATAAGAAAGCCCACTGCATGGGAGAACGTATTTGCCAATGTTATCTCTGATAAGAGTTTAATCTCCAACATTTACAGGGAACTCATACAACTTAACAAAAGGCAGATAAACAATCCAATAAAAAAAATGACCAAAGTACCTAAATAGATACATTTTGAAAGAGGACATACTAGGGAAGTAAAGGGGTACTCACTGTGATTTTGATTTGCCTTTCCTTAATGACTAATGATGCTGAACATTTTTTCATGTGCTTACTGGCTATTTGTATATCTCTGGAACATTTATTCAAATCTGCTGCCTATTTTTAACTTGACTTGTCTTTTTATTATTGAACTTGAGGCCCAGTGCACGAAATTCATGCCCAGGGGGCAGTGTGTGTCCCTCAGCCCCGCCTGTGCCCTCTCCAATCTAGGATCCCTCTCACAATCTAGGACTGCTGGCTCCCAACTGCTCGCCTGCCTGCCCGATTGCCTCTAACCACTGCTGCCTGCCAGCCTGATCACCCCCTAACTACTCCCATGCCAGCCTGTTCGACACTTAACTGCTCCCCTGCCAGCCCAATTGCCCCTGACTTGCCTCCCCTGCTGGCTTGGTCACCCTTATCTACCCTCCCCTGCTGGCCTGGTTGCCCCTAACTGTCCTCTCCTGTAGTTCTGGCCCGCACAGCTGCCTTCCCTGCAGGCCTGATTCTCCCACAACTGCCCTCCCCTGCTGGCCATCTTGTGGTGGTCATCTTATGTCCACCTGGGGGCAGCCATCATTGACCACATGGGGGTGGCCAGGTTGTGTGCTGGAATAATGGTCAATTTGCATATTACCTCTTTACTGTATAGAACTGTTAAAAGACTTAACTTTTGCTCTGGCTGATTTGACTCAGTGGATAGAGTGTTGGC